AAACCTTTTCTTGAAGAAGTTAAAAAGCTTGAGCAAGGCTTTATAGTAAATTTAAATGGAATAAACTATTGGATAATGGGAGAACTGGGTGTTTTTACAGGTGATTTGCCTCAAGGAAATAATATAGCTGGAATACTACGACATAATGCATATAAAGGTTGTCATGCATATAAAGCACCTAAAGATCAATTAACTGATCTTTCATTTGATATATATCATTATGCCCAATATCATCAAATTACAGATCAAGAATTTCAGTTTATAAATCAACAATTATCTAATGATGTAAAATCTCAGCTTCGTTCTCAATATGGCTTGCAACCTTTGCCTGGACCATTAGATCCTTTACTGCATGATCATTATTTACATACACCTCACAATGCATATCATGCAGTTGCTAGAAAGATAGCTCGATTACTAAATTGTACTTGTACAATTTTAACATTATCTGGTGAAAATGATTTAATAAACTGTTGAAAGAGTATTGAAATTCCAATACAATGGTCTCGTTTGCCAAATCCAATTACTCATAGACGTTCATTTATGATGTCAGATAATTTAAGAATTCTTATGATTTTTCCATTTATATTAAAACGCTGTTTAATTGTTAATAGTATTAAAGATGATTATTTAAAATCAACATGTGATAGATTACATTTTTCTGACTATTTAGAAGTAAGAAATTATATTATTTATACTTGGGCACTTTTTGCAAAAGCAGCTAAAGAAGTATTCTCTTTAACTATACAACAATTAACTGGATATTTCAAATTGCAAGCTATATTAAATAATAAGCTCAATGCTTTAATTAAGGTATATATTAATTTAATCTAATATTTGTTATAAAGTTTGTTTTAAAATTCTAACTTTATTTTATTGTAAGCTTTTTCCTAATAGTTTTCAAAATCTTCCTAATCTACATATAAATAGTCATTTAGTAAATTATGCATACCAATATGCAACTTGTATAAATACAGCTGTTGGTATAAAAGAAATGATACATCGAATTTTCAAGGCAATTGTTCCACATACCAACAAGCATAATCTTGAACTTACTCTATTATGACAAGTTAATACTTTACAAACTTTACGATTTTTTGCTGATAATGGAATAGATAATCGAATGCCTAATTATTCTACCCAATCTATTTTTGAACCATTAATTAAAATGCCATGACTTTGTAATTTATTATCTGGTTGGTGTATTAATAATCATAGTTTGTCAATACACTGTTTAAATAATATAGCCGATTAAGAAGGTAATTTTTTTTTTTTATAATATTTAATAAATAATTATTTTTTTATAATATTTAATAAATATTTATTTTTTTTTAAATAATTCAATTGTTATCACCAATCCCAATCTTTCTAATTGCTCGGAAATAAGGCTAGGACAAAAATAAAATAAACATCAAGTCGAAACTGCAGGATTTTCAACAAATATTGAAACAAATAATCTTTTAAAAGATCTTATGAATATATATTTACTATATTATTCATTAGAACAAGCTCTACTAGAAACGCAGGTTTCTTTTTATGGAAGTACATCATATACAATATGCCAATCTAATGGTGACTACTATAATATAAAATTAAAAATTTGAGAAATTGTTGAAGTTAGATTATTTGGTGAAAATCAATTAAAATTTGGTAAAATAATCGGTATAATTGAGCATTTATGGAATAATGGTCAAGTATTTGTCTTTCTTTGTTTTAATTGGTTAGAAAATTTAAACAACCTAGACTCTTTATTAGACTGTCCAATTTATCATATCCAGCATAATTCTTTCAATCAAGTTCATCCAATTTCTGTAGTATTACTATTATCGAATATTCATTTTCTTCATAATTGTAAATCAAGTTGTTCTTTTTAACAACATGATACTACAAATTATGAGTATATTCGAAATGATTTTTTATTTACTGCAATTTAAAAATATATTTGCATAAATATGTATGTTTATTATAATTTTATTATTGTTTTATCGCTATATAATACTAAGTATTCTAGTTCTTGTTATTTAAATAGCTATTATTTTTGGTTATCTTATCATATTTTTAATTTACTATATAGTATAGAAAAATATGTTTTAATTAAATTTTCAAATGTAAGCCAATTAACAAGAATGGCAAATTGAAATTCTTTTTTTTTTGAGAAAGATCACCGCATTGAAAAAAACGAGACATCAATGAAAATAGGATAGAGGTCTTTTTTTTTTTTTTTTTTAAGTTTTTTTTTTTCTTTTTTTTTCTAAGCTAGTTTAATTTCTTTTTTTGAGATTTTACTTTTTATTTTTTTGTAATTTTGGCCAAAATTAG